GCTCAGACAAAGGGACCACATCATTGTGGTTACATGGAGATCTTGTGGCTTCCACATCAGACATAGCAACTTCACATATAATTCCAGATGGAGGAATTTTGCAGATTGGCCAAGAAAAAAACGGGTGCTGTGTGGGAGGGGGTTTTGATGAAACTTTAGCCTTTTCAGGAAAACTAACTGGCTTTAATATCTGGGACAGGGTTCTCAGTGATGAAGAGATAACACAGACTACAGGAGAAGATTCATGTAATATCAGGGGCAATGTTGTTGGGTGGGGAGTTACAGAGGTTTTGCCACATGGAGGAGCTCAATACATTTAATAAAGTCTGAAAACCAGTATCCTGAACTATAGCTTAAATGTTCTTAAGAACAACATTCCTAACAACAATGTACAAATGCAAATGTTCTTAACAATGTACAAATACAGGAGAGCCTAATGAACCTGAGTATCTAAAATCTCAAGGAAAATTAGCATTGTAAGACTACAAGTGAGGGACTGTGGAGGTTGGATTTGATCTCTGTCTGCTGTCTTGTCAAAATACTGAAAAAACACATCAGCGTGTTATTGGAAAAGCCATTCCTGAGCGCAGACAGACTGCTGTCATTCTAGCTTAGTGTTTTCAGGCTCATAGCCAATGTGAGTCACCTGTGGACATATTGGGGCAAAATTTAGCTCTCATAACCCTTCCTAAATTCAACACATTAAATATATGGAACTCTTTTCTGTAGAACACACATAAGGCTGTTTTTTGGGAGGGAGTTCTGATTTGTTGTTTTTATGTTACTAATGTGAATCCTACAGATGAATCCTATAAGTCATGAAATGATGTTTGCTGTTTACTACTTTTTGTTACTGATTTTTAGACTACCATAACACTAGCGCTTTGTCTAAAATATTATTTATGCTATGGATTGACTTAACATATAAAAGTAGTGTTCTCAATTATAACCTAATGTTACCTGTTAAGATCCAGTTGTATTATATTGTAAATTGATTTGTAATTATTTTATTAAAATTATTTTTGTAAAGTTGTATTGTAAATAAAAATACTTTATCAAACTGATCCTTCCTACAATTTTTCATGAAGAGAAACACAGATTTGGGATTGTTCCCCCATTGCTTTGGGGTTTTTTGCTATGATAAATAATGTATAACTCATGAAAATGGCCTGATCTACAGGGGATTGAAATAATGAGCACCCAGTGGCTATGCTAAACATTGGGCTATGTAAAACCTAAATGGTGTCATGGGAATGGAGTCATCACTTCTCCAACCCTTGGCCCCTATGAACAGAGCTGCCCTTAAAGAGGCAGACCATTTCCCCTAAAAATGCGAGTCCACTTTGACTTGTACAATTTACAACTAGTAAAGAGGAGGGAGCAGGGGGTGCCTCAAGCTGAAGAAACTTCTAAAACTATCAGTCCACTATTCTGTGAATACCCCATGTCATCAGTACCACACAGTAATTTATTAATTTTCACAAATAACCTTTGTTATATGGGAAAAACTGAGTCCCAGATCAAAGGCCTTCCCAGTTCATTGGTTCCAGATCTCTTCACCCAAGGGAACCCCAGATCTCCCAGTAAAACTGCGCAAAGCCAACAGCTCTCTCGTATCCTTTCCCATATACAGCAATCCATTACATACAAATAACTGTACATGAAATATACTGAAACAAATAAAACCTCCAAAATTGAAAATCCCTTCTCTGTCTTCTTCCTGCACCTAGTATCCAAAATACCAGGGTTTTTATCTAGATGTTTACTTACAACCACACCAGCTTTAATCCTGCCAGTGATCAGGATCCTTAGATCTGTAACTCACACTTTATTGGAAACCCATCTCCCTTTCTCCCCAAGTAAAATGGACCCTTTCCTGCAGCCCTGCCTTCCTCCTGTTATGTGCCAAAAACTTCTCACCCGAGCCCAAAAATGTCTCATCTACCCTTCCAGACCCTTCATATGTAACCTGACCTACTTCATTTGTAACATGATCTGTGTACTGAATGAGACTGGGCCCTGAGGAATTTATAGTGCATGATCATATAACACAAGGCTGTACCATAAAGCATTGTACAAGATACAGATTAAGATTGTGAGAGTAATTTTGGAATTTCTTGCATTCAGGTCTATGCATCCCTTCCTGCATTTAATGGTCTTTAATGTGGTTTGCTTATGGAATAGGTTATACAATACCTGTTAGCAAAACATCCATGTTCTATAACGCAAATACCCGATAAGTGTGACCAGAGATGCTGAAGGTTCTGGGTGTGGTAGAGCCAGTGTGGCTTTACTACATGCAAGCATGAGCATGGAATTTATTGAGCCCGTCAAGGTCATGTAGCTCTTTAGCAGACTAGTGGACTTTATTCTCAGGCCCTCTTTCACTCTAAGAAATAAGAAGCTTTTCAGTCCAGCAGGGCAGGTCCTGTGGTTCTGCAGCAACATCAATTAAATGGCCAAACTCTTCCCAAGGACCCAGCAGGCCTAGAGCTCTGAGGGCATGGAAAGGCACATGGAAATAGAAGGGTTCCATTTCTGCCATCAGCCTCAGGAAACTCCTCAGTCTATTTGTCAATATTGTGTATAGGATATGGACATTTCATGTTGGAAACTGACTACTCTCATTAGTGATCTCTAAATGCTTGGCACAACACATTTGTTAAACATTCTTCCTAAATGGCATTTTTATGGCTAATAAGATGAGAAATAAATAATGCAACCCAACATTTGCCCAAAGTAGGTACTATGCACATAAATCCATTAAGTGCATAAACTCTACTAGGCACTTGGCCAAATTCTGCTATTAGTTTCACCAGTGCAACCTCACTGATCTCTTTGGAGCCATCCCAGTCTGAATGAGACCAGAATAAGGCCCCTTGTTTCCATTTATCCTTGCACACTTATAGCTAAGATTCCCCAATGAACCATCGTAGTTCTGAATCATGGATCTTGGCAGCATATTGAAACAAATCCTTTCATGACAGAAATGCAATTTATGTGAACTAAAACTAGCCAGGAGACCTGTGTGCAAAACACAGGAATATTTCAATTCTGTACAGTGACATTTTTTAATCTACAATTTTCATCTCTGATGTCCATAGCAACTTCTGCTGGTGGATTAATATAAATGCAGGAATAATCACAGTGAGGCATTAAATCAATTACAAGTTTTTAAATATATCATTCTCTCTATGTATCTGGGATTGTATTTTAGGGGCCACTTCTCATTCCATTCTGTTGTATTCTATTAATAATGCTATTTTCCCAAATGTTAATACATAGGTTAAAATCTTAATAAATGTCAATGACACTGGTCTTAGGTTTCCTGAGCCAGACAGACATTTCTCAGCAATATTCTTTCACCTGAATTTTATTTAATACTGTTACATGGCTTATAGAATATTTGTCTCACAACACAACTCATAAAAGGAAAAAACAGAATATTTCATAGATTTCATAGACATTTAGTTCTGTTCATAAATTTAAATTTTACCTTGCTATCTGACCAGCTTCCCTGCTCCAGCTCTCCTCTCACCCTGATCCCTCTATGAGTCCTGAGTTAGCAGAGAGAGCACTCCCTTTCTACAAGGGAAAAGGGGAGATCTGTGCACAAAGAACCTATCTGTTCACAAATCTAGTCCACTGGTGTTTCAGGAATATTACTGTAAAATGTGTGAGAATCTCTTCTGGATACTATCTGCAGGTAGGAAGGAGGATATTCTTCCTATAGTTTTTACCTGTCTTGTTGATCTGGTATGATTTGTATGAAATGAATTAAGGAACAAGCTGCCATGTACTTTAACTATTCCCTCATCTAATACCATAAAATAAATATATCCCAATTTTTAAAAATAAAGACAGAATTAGATTTTAAGATGGTTTTAAGATTTCTCATCTTCAAAACAACATCCCTGCAGTGATCAGTCCAGCTACTGTCACTCATGGGCATCCAACCTGCCTTGGAAAGCAAGGCCATGTAGCAAAGTATGGTAACTGATTTCAAATAACCTGCACTCCACTTTTTAAAGATTGTGATAACATTGCCATAATATTTAAAACTATTAAGAATAAGATTTGAACAATTAGCAAGAGTATTTGTTGCTAATTTCAACAATTTAGCAACAAAATTCATATCCAACTAATAACATAGATGGGAATAAAACACTATTGCTAATCCTTGAAAATTTCTCTCTGACTTTTTATCATGGGATGGGCCAGAGTCTGTTTCAACTGAAATCAATGGAATTTTACCCCTGCCATAAATGGGAAGGCAGAAGGCAGGGCAGGGCAACACCTTAGAGACTAATTAATTCATAAATGGCCTAACTCTATGGGCATCTAGACACATGCTCCAGGGTGGGGATAGGGGAGCATTTTAATTAGAGTGGCTCTCAGGAGCCATTCTAATTAAAATGACTACAGCGTCTCATGTATTCAGCATCTCACACTTCAAAATGGCAGTAGGAGTGCTTTAACTAGAGCTCATTCAATGAGCTTTAGTTAAAGCACCCACACCGCCATTTTGAAATGTGGGGATGCTGAATACACGTGACAGCGAAGCTGCTGGATTGTTTAATTAGAATGCTCCAGCAGACTTGATTGAGTCTGCTGGAATAATTGAATCTGATCGGGTATAGCAAGTGTCCCACATGTGTACAGGTACCCAAAGGTGTCACCTTGCCCCTGCCTTCTGCTGAGTTCAGACTGACATGGCTAACAACTCTCTGAATAAATGTGAAGGAAAATGCCAGGAAGTACAATGATGTCTCACATTGCTGTTTATTATCTACAGTCCACTGGCACCTTAATGGCTGGCATGCCATGTTCATGAACATGGAAAGATCCAATTCTTGCTATAAAGATGTTGTAACCCACAACAAATACTCCTAATCATTAAGGCTTAAATACTATATGCCGATAGCACAGACTACTGGACCAGATATATGTATTTGATGGGGTCTTCCAGGATTCAGCACTCAACAGGAAAGCTTTCATACCTTGGAGGACACTTTTCACAATTGCGTCGGTGTGATCAACCAGCAGATCAACGTTGCTAATTGCAGCCAAGGACAGATAACTTGACATATTCCTACACAGTTCCTTGTTACCCCTCTGGAGAAATCTTACTGCCACTGGGACAGCTAAAGCCATTATTGGAGGTCGATTATAATTCTGTAAAAACATGAGAAGGCACCAAAAATAAGAAGCTGAAAAATTATTAAAATAAAGTCTCATACTGAAAAAAATGTAAAGAAACAGAAATCAGATGAGCAAGGGAAAAAGCAGTCCAAACACACTTAGAGAAAGGTTGCTTCTGGGTAACATGATTCAAGTCAGGACTTTAAGAAGGAAAACAACAACAGATGTAATTTCAAAATACTCCAGCTGTACATGCTAATAGTGTACCTATTCCCATTTTCAACAACTGGAATAGAGAAATACTATGATATGAAAAATGGTTGTGGACATAACATGCAATGTTTTCTCCAAAGTAAACTCTGTGCTTGGCATTTCCACATAAGCTGGTTGTGGTAATAACAATAATCCATCCTGGGCTGCATCTTAAGAAATGGTTGGAGGGAGTAGAGCGCAATCTGTTGGCAAAGATTGAACTGCTCACCCAAAGTGATAACGTACTGGCATAGCTCCCCAGTTCCTTCTTTTAACATAGTGATTTTATCTTTCCTGGGGATTAGCCTCAACTTAATCACTCAGAGCAGCTGTGTACCAGTGCAGGCAAGGAAGACAATAATTAATGTGAATGCAGTTTACCCTTATTTTGAGCATAAGTAACTCCTCACAATGCAAATCACAGCTTTCCACATCTATATTAGGGATTTGACTAGTGTGACTACATGGGTTGCTGACCATAACTGCTGAATCTGAGCCTATTCTCATAATGAAGAACTGAATGAAGAAGGAAGTCCCAAATTCCCCAAAATGTAAAAATTGCATCCATTGCCAGCTCACCTGACCCAAGTATCAGTATGAAACCTATTGTTGTGTTGTATTTACAATCTGGGCCTATTCTGATCTTATTTATGCTGCTGTGAATTTGGATTTGCTTACAGAATCAGGTGCAAAAGAGCCCTTAACCAAGCTTATTGGCTACATGAGAATTCTCCATGCTAAGGCATCTTCAAGTGACAGGGAGGAGTTCCTTTACTGTCCCCTATCTCTAAGCAGCGGTCCTTGGAAAAGCAATATGTTTGGGAAAGGCATGTACTCCCACAGTTGCCAGGTGCCATGACAACCTCTTGTGGCCATCAGCATCTTGAGCCAGTAACAAGAAAAGTCCTTAAGGCTAATGGAATTTCTACCCTGCTGAATGTTTAAATCCACATCATGCCTTAGTTACTTATAACTGGGAGGATCTATTGACCATCAGCCAAATTCTGCCTTCAAGGTATCTGCCCCTCCCCAGACTCACTGCATAAAATAAGATAAGATTTGGTTCTTTAATTGGGATTTAAATCTTGAAAGAAAATTAGAGAATGGAAATCTTTCTATAACAAGAAAGATGAAATGATCCACTGCCTGAGAAAATGTATTAATCCAATTGGAAGCAAGAATAAGGTTACAGTTGCTCTGTAATAAATATCTGTGCATGACTGTTCACTTATGAAAATGTGAAGGTGACAATGGAAACCAGATTTCCATAGTATAACGCAGAGATGTTTGCCAACCTCAGGGAACCTAACTGCTGCTGACATCAACAGAAACATGTGACATTCAACCCAGCTGTGCGATATTCATTACTTCTCCAACTGTCCCAAATGTATTGTATAAAAACTCTGATTGCTCTTTCTTCTGCAAAGGAGCTCACTGGGTAGCTTTGGTTCTAAGAGCAGCAACTGTGCTTGGACATGTTCTCGCCTTTGTTTCTTTTCTAATTTGTTTTGCAGTGATTTTCTTTCATGCAGTTCACTGTGCCCATGAAGAACTTTGCATCAGATGTTAACGTGTGCTAAGTCAACTATTACACCCTAAATGTCTGTAAATCATTCTCAGAAAGAACAATCAATTTCTGCGAACAGCCTTATTTGACTGTTGTTTATTTGTGGGCAGAAAGAGGAGAAAGTTCCTGTGGACTGGCCAGCAGAGATGAAGCAGCCTGTTTGTGTAGTGAACACATGCTAAATATTTCTCCAGTCTTAAAACACAGTATCTAAACTGAACAGATAAAACATCCACATGTCATTAAAGGATGAATCTAAAACCCACTGAAATCAAAAGATATAATTCTGTTAATTTCAATGGGCTTTTTATCAGACCTATACTAAGAAATACAATGCAGGAATTGAGTAATGTTTTTATTCTGACAAAGTTACAATAATAAGCAGAGTTAAGACAATGGAGACTTGTTCTGCTGATTTAAAAAATTACATTCCTGGACAAAACCAAACAGGGGTTCAGGTAGAATTTCTTCTTTCATCTTTGTAAATACTAATTTGGAACAGATTCCAAAGTTTTGGAACTGAAAAGACCAGGACTAGGCATATAGAGAGAACTGTAAATTACAATTACAAGTGAATTTAGCTTTGGGGTTGTTGTTTTTTCCCCCTGTAACTTTATTTGTTTCTTTTGGACTTCAAATGCTTTAAACCATAAACCAAACTGGATGAGTAATCTCTACAAGTTTTAAGTACAACGTGTTGTAATAGGGCCCTTTTGGCAATTACTTGAGCAGCATCCTGGGTGATACACACCTTTGGCATTGCTGGTTTAGCTACTATATGGAAAGACTAAATGGCACCCATCTAAATTTACCTCAGTGCCATTTTCTAGGCAGGAATAGCAAAGGTGATTTTGAGTAAGTCTGGAGTGAACCCAGCAGAATTATAAACAATCAGTCTGTGCAGAGGGTATACTGGAAAAAAAGGGAAATATACTGTTGAGATTTTAAGAAATGAAATGTAGTATGGGTACCTCAGTGCTGGAGGCAGACTCAGGTGAAATGAAGAAGACTGGTTAACGAAAACACTGGCTTGTTTGGAAAATTCAACCAGCCACAGAAAACTACCTATTGCCAAGGTGCCTTATGAAAAACCAACTTCCCAGACAGTCCGTATCCTTCTCCTGCAACAGGCCCTACACAATGTTCAATCCTTTGTTATAGTCTAGTCCTACTCCACTTTCTCATTTTTACAGCTACTTTTAATACGTACAGCCTGATGTGGAAAATTCCCAGGCTGTACATATTAAAACCCTTGGCTGAGTCCCCATAAATGCTTTCATGTTGTGAATGACTGTAGTACTCAGTTACTAAAATCAAAGAATTTTTTGATCTCTGACGACCCACAGAAAGGACTTCATTTCTTTCTTCATTCACAACTTGAGCTCGAGTACGCAAATACCCAGCTTCATATGCTGTCAGCCAGTGCGTTGTCTACTGAGCATATATAGTAGCCATGCAGTCACTTAAGTGTCTGTACTATATAGGTAACAGAATCACAAGCAGAATATAAATGCCAAAAATTACACTTATATGGCTGTAAAATTGTCATTTAGGCATGCAGGGATAAAAAATTCTACCTTTTCAGAGAAGACTTTCAAAGTGGATCACCCCAAGCATGTCTCCTCATACATTACCCCAAGCATGGCTACTCTGGAACTTAATGCAGCCTACTAGTGTGATGTAAATTCATGCCCTACCTTGCTCTGCACTTCTCCATATAGCTTAGCCCTCAGTCTCTAAGTACAGAATCAATTATGTGACTTCCTCTCTTCCCTTTCCTACTAGTAGAGGGTGAGCAACAATGGTCCTCACTTAGGTTATCTGGAATTCTGGGGAAAACCTTGTGTTAAAGTCAAGATTCAAATTCTTTCCCCTGGTCACTACAGATGTAGGTTCACGGGCTGAATGGCAACATTACATAATTTTTCAATTCATCTGAAATTGTCTCGTCTTTTTATCTTCAGTAGTTGCACCACCACACAATTAGAGCAGCTGGCAATCAGCAGTTGGAAATTCTGTCTCTCATACTGAGCCTTTCAGGTTAATCTGCATGGATTTCCATGGCTCAGTAGGTTGATGCACTTCCAGTAAAGGAGTTGTCTCTCCTTGCTGGCACTCTCCTTTCCTGACAGACAAGACAAGAAAGCCAAGTCAAAGGTCCACCTGAGTCACTGGGGTAGCATGGTTAAAGCATGCCAGTTCTGCCTCAAAAGAGCTATCTCCTGGTCATAGTAGGAAAGCCACACTATAAAGTCTCCTCAGTGCATGCTGGAGTTCCCTTTACTGATACCTCCTGGTATTATTCCTTCTGTTATTTCAAAGGGGCTGCTTAAATGTTCCTGTGCCTGTAAGACTCTCAATCCATATTTTGAAGCTGCTACCAAAAGGCTCTGCAATCACCATCCAAATACAGTACTAGGTCCTATGCTGCTGTCTCATCAGTCCATCCATTCCCAGGGTGTTACTGTTCAGAGTTTGGCTTAGGGAGACCCAATTCATATGCACGGATAGTACATTTCTTCTCAGGCAAAAACAACAGTCATAGGGTCAAAGATTCTCTAAATAGATGAAGAGTCAAGATCTAAGCTGCATGTTCACGGTCAGAATTTAGCTGTAGATTAGTTTCCCATACTTGTGTCTGACTCAGAATTACAACTGGGATTTAAAATGGGATCCTCTTTCTTGACACTCAGCATATCTGATAAGCTAAAAGACTTCAAAGTTTGCCCCAAAAGATTTTTTTCTTCCAGAGTCATAAGTGCCTTGAACATAAGGAGTTTCAACTAAAAGATACAGTTATAATACTATCCTTCACCCATTAATCCTAAGGAATAATGCAAATGTCTTAAGTTCACAAAACATTAAAAAATCCAATACTCAAAACTCAGGAAAATTTCCAAGTATAAGGCCACTGCCAAAATATTTACTTGACATCAAAATATAACCATATACACATAATAGTATACATTACCAGTAATTCTTGGCTTTTTTAAAAATATGTGATTATGCCAAAACTCCTCAAAAATGCAGCTGTCAATTAAAAGATGACACAGAAGAACTGAAATATGCATTATAGTACATTTTTTGTAAGATACTCATACCTGCAAGATGCAACTCATGATATCAGATGCAATTTTTGCATGTGGTGTATCCTCATCTTTTCCTGAAGGTTTAAGTTTATGCTCTAAGCATGATTCCCAGAGAGCCACAAGTGCCTTCCCATGTTTTTCTATAGACTCTGTCTCTCTGATGGCAGTAGTGATTCGGGTGATACAGATTTCTACCACAGCCTGATCATTGTCATTAGTTTGGTAGTCCTAATTGAAAGAAACACATTTTTAAAAAGTAAAATGTCATCATTTTAAGGATTCTGCAACTACAAGCAGAAGTTTTTCTGTTCACTCAGCTTTCAGTTTTCTTGCTGTCTGCTTTACAAGTAATGAATAAACTATTCAGAAACAAAACTTAACTTATCAGAAGTATTGAACAATTTCAAGTTGTAATGGAACACAAATGAATAATTTGTGCTTCTACAGAAAAAGTATGGATTCAATTATTAATGTTATGTAGCCTCCATTTTAAAGTTAAGATATCCCATTCATATGATGTCAGTGTATACACCTTGAGGTCTCCTGTTCATGGTTTTTCTGTTTATATATTAGTCTAATTTAATTTTTTAGAAAACAAAACAAAAAACAGTCCACATAGTCACATCTAGCACCTCATATCATTCACGTTATGCACATATTTAGATGAGTGATGTCAATGGAGATAGCCGATTTATACAAATATAACTAAGAAAAAACTTGCCCTACTTCATTGCCAAAACACTCATCTTGTACTGGTATAAATGATTACAATAGAGAATCAGACCCAATATATACAGTGACCCTCATACTAGAATAGTAATAATACAGTTCTATGCCAGAGACACAGAGGCCAAAAAATGGACCAAAATATTCATCAACAGCTGTGTTATTTTTGTCAGCTAAACATGGACATGTTTAAAGAATTTGCAGTCAATTCTACATTCATTTACAGACATGTAATTCCAGAGTAACTGTTAAAGCCAATGGAGTTACTGCAGACATACCCCACTGTGAATGAGTGTCTAACATAAAACCTATGCATTTAAGTTTCTTGTGGGGGCATTTAGTATACTTATCATCCACACCTGACCTGACAGTTGCTTGCTATTCCAAAAAAAATCCTGTATTTATTACAAGTGTGCATTACATTTTTAGATTAAATTGTGATAAAAACATTGATTAATAGAGATACCCAAGCATAAGGTAGGTCAGGGTAGCATCTTAGAGACTAGCTGATTCAGAAGCAAGCTTTCATAGGCAACATGTACTTTGTTAGACACTAACAAAGCTAACTGGGTATAGATATACTCAGTAATGTTGCCCTGTAAAATATCAAACTCAGTTGAGCAATCAGGATAGTTTCATACTCGTATTTATATTTGTCCTCACAGGCTGCCAGAATAGTACTATAGAAAAAAGGAGCAGCAGAACACTCCTGTCCTCAGCTCCTATGTATATGGCGAAAAAAGCTTCCTAATACATATGGGGAAAACAAATAAACATTGATGGCTTAAATTCTGAAATTAAAAATAGCAAGAAAATCTTATGCTACAGCACCAGTAAAATATTTCACTGATCTCTGATGCCCCCTAGTGGGAATTAATTTTATGGAATTTACAAGTACAAGAAAATCTTTTGTTTCTTAAATTACAGCATGTCTTAGCAGTTTAGTATGAATTATTATTCATGTATAAAAATCATCAAATTAAGTCCTCTTCCCTCAAAGGAATATGATAGAGGGGATTTCTAGGAATATTGATAAGATTGATAATATGCAGCTTAGTGGAATGCATCAGCAACAAGTGGAGTCAACAGTCAAATTAACTTGATTAATGTTCTGAAAAAATGTGCAAATGTTATTGCCGGCTAATAAATTACCCAAGAAAAAAAGAGTCTCTGTACAACTGAAGATTTAGAGCACTTGTGACAACAAGCAACACTGTGATCAAAAGCTCCTCCAGTCAGAGATTTGTACATTGCCAGAATCCATTTTAAAAATCACTTATTATGCGTCCAGAAAAGGGTTATCCCCAGAACATAGACATTATTCTAGCTCAAGATATTAATGACTTAGTTCAACTGCTGGTTTCTCTTCTGTAGTAAGGCGATATTCCAATCAGGGATTTCAGGGTTTCTGCAAAGGCCAGGCTCAAGTCACTCTCTAATATCACAAAACAATGGATGAAAATGACCTATGCATTAACACAAATTATGTTATAATTAGATACAAATTACTGGCCCAATAAGGATGAAATGTAATGGTCTATGATATACAGAAAGACAGTCTAGATGATTTAATGGGCACTTTTAGCTTTAAATACTATTCTTCTATAGTCTAGAACAGGGGGCAGCAACCTACAGCGCATGGGCCAGATGCAGCCTACCAAGTCATTGTATCCAGCCTGTGAATCTTGGACATTGGTAACAATTCCGTGGCGGAGGGAGCAACATAGGAGCCTTCCCTGCCCTTGAACACTTTTTGTGCAGTGCAACTTGCTGCCCCAGCCCTCCGTGTTCTCTGTCATACACCTCCTTAATGAAGTCACTGCTTCTCTCTGCCAAATTTGTCACTGGTAGAAGTGGGTTTCAGCAGTGATGGTTATGGGGAGGCAGAAGAACTAGCAGGGGGCATTAGAGTGAGAGAGCAATAGTAGGCACAGAATAGGGAGGGTTGGTTTGGTGGCATGCAGCTCAGAGCAAGGGTGGTGACTGTGTTGCAGACAGTGACCTGACTTCAGATCTAACTGCCTGATTTTGGCCTGCAGTTCTGATAAGTTTGCCCATCCTTGTTTAAGACAGGCTTGTCCAACATACGGCCAGCGGGCCGCCATGCAGCCCACCAAGGCATTTTCTGTGGCCCATGGTGCTGCGACGGGAAATGAAAGTAAACACGGTTTACTTTTGTTCTCACCCCTTGTCCCTCCCCCAGCCCCTCAGCAGCTTCCTAATGGCTGCTGAAGGGCTGGAGAAGGGACAAGGTTCCCACATGCACCGTGTCAGTGCAGCACAGACCAGCCGGGTCCCTCGCAGGGCTGGACCCCTCCCTGGCCGGGGGCGGTGCTGGTTGCAGCTGCTGAGTAGCCCCACCCACCCACACTGAGGAGCCGGTGCCCGCCCGGGGGGCCACAGGCGGTGCCGCGCGCCCC